ACTACTGAGATTATTGGCATTAAGAATCCACCTGAAAAGTACACAATTTTAAACTCAAGGTTTATCATTCAAAAGTACATACTTCTATCCCAGCTCAAAGAGGGACAGATAACAAAATCCCAATCCCCATAGGAATATACAGGGGAATCTGATAATCTTCCCTGTACAGTATTCTTCCTTTAGATCTTCTTTCTAAATATGTCTAGCAAAATCTCTGATTTACAGAACTGAAGGGAACTGAACAATCTTATCTTAGACATTCTAGGAGAAGGAACTTAAAAGTTCTCCAGAAACTGATGAGTTACCATTTCTAGTTGCCCCAAATAAAAAGGGCAGTGGTGAGCAACATCTGGAAGTAGTTTAACTACTTCAATCTAGTAGTCCATTCCCTTCTTTGAAGCAGCAACCATTCTCCCTAATTCATTCTGCTAGAGTAGTCTAATCCAAGAAAAAAACATGACACCAGAAAGCCACAAAGGGCTAGGACAGGGTAGGCAACCTTGGCTCTTTTATGACTCGTGGACTTCAACTCCCAGAATTCCTGAGCCAGCATGGAATTCTGGCTCAGGAATTCTGGGAGTTGAAGTCCACGAGTCATAAAAGAGCCAAGGTTGTCTACCCCTGGGCTAGGAGGAAGTACTAGTCAATTTTAAACCACATCCAGCTCAAACAATGGACCGCGTTGTTTAGGAATTCCAAGAGCAAGCATATCAAAACATCTGGACAGTTTTGCATTGGGAAGGGCAGCCTTTGACAAACAGAGTGTGACAACGCTATTGTTGTTTTCCCAACAGAATTGCATCTTTTAACAGTCATTCCAGAAGGAAAAAAAGAATAGCAGAGTCCACATCAGTTCTGCAGAGAATCAGCTTCAATGGATATTGCCTCTCCATAATCTATTGGATCTGATGTTTCTCAACCATGGCACCTTTAAGAGGTGTGGACTTCAATTCCCAGAAGTCGAGTGCTAGCTGGGGAATTCTGGGAGTTGAAGTCCACACATCTTAAAGCTGCCAAGGTTGAGAAACCCCGTTGCAGCTGTTCCATTCAGCTGCTAGAGCAGAGATGGCGAACCTTTTAGAGACCGAGTGCCCAAACTGCACCCCAAAACCCACTTATGCATCGTTGGGTGCCGGGTGGGTGTGGCCCATTGGATGGGTGTGGCCCATTGGGTGGGCGTGGCTGCAGTGCTAACGGTAGACTTGGTGGGACTAAGAAGTTCAATCAATTCCAACTTTGCAAGATCTTATTTTTTCCTGCGAGAAGTTGAAATTGATTGATTGATTGAACCTTTTTTTTTTTTTTTGCACATGGCGGCGGAGGCCTAAAGCGAAAAGGTTTTATAAAACCCAGCTGAAGGCCTAGGACTGGGGTGAGGGCGTGCGTGCCCACAGAGAGGGCTCTGAGTGCCGCCTCTGGCACCCGTGCCACAGGTTCACCACTACTGTGCTAGAGCAAAGAGCTAAAGGACATGAGATTAGTCTACGAGCTTAATTGAGAAGGCAGTAACCTTTGTACCCTCCAGTCTTTGAACTATAGAAGTCCAGCTGGTGCTGTAAACAATCCCTCTCTTCGCTTTCTATTTATACTGCTCACTCTGCACTACTGATAATAATAATAATAATAATAATAATAATAATAATAATAATAATAATAATAATAATAATAATAATAATAATAATAATAATAATAATGTTGGAAGGGACCAGTTGGATGATGATGATGATAGTAGTAGTAGTAGTAACAACAACAACAATAAGAAGAAGAAGAATAAAAAGTTGGAAGGGACCTTGGAGGTCATCTAGTCCAACCCCCTGCTCAAGCAGGAAACCCTATACCATTCCAGACAAATGGCTATCCAGTCTCTTCTTAGAAACTTCCAGTGTTGAAGCATTCACCACTTCTGGAGGCAGGTTGTTCCACTGGTTAATTGTTCTCACTGTCAGGACGTTTCTCCTTAGTTCTAGGTTGCTTCTCTCCTTAATTAGTTTCCATCCGTTGCTTCTTGTCCTGCCTCCAGGTGCTTTTATGCTGTACATAAAAAGTTCTGTAGGACCCTAAGAATTCACTTCTGATTTGGGTCCTTTTCCTCGTCCCTCCTTATCTCTTTTTCCTTTTGTGGTTTTGCTTGCTTTAGACTATAAATGCAGAGACAGCCTTCTCCCCTCCCCTCTCCATTCTTTTATTAACTACATACAGAAAAAAAAAATAGACCCAATTATAAAGAAAAAAGCTAAAATTGCTTTAAATTTGCTTTTTTTTTAAACAGGTTGTATATTCACAGACATAAACAGCTAAGTTACATTGGTAAATTATTGAGTTGTAAATTGATGGTAACATCAAGGCATACTGGCTGAAGAGTAGGATAGAAATGCTTTGAATCAATCGTTTGAAATCCTCTTACCTGGGTCGGAGAGGGACAGGCTGTGCAATATCTGCCTTTAACCCAGTGTAGACTGAAAAGGGTAGCACTGTCATTGCAAATTATAATGGGAGCCAGACACTGAACTGCAATCTCCTGGGCTGCTGTTATTACTCAGATATTGGGTTAGATAACAGTCATAAGAATAATAAACCTCTGAAGAACAAACACTGCTGTTATAAATTGTAGACGAATGTGAAAGATAACCTGGAAGATGACAGCCCATCTGCCCGTACAGAGAAACTACATAAATTAAAGTGAGGGAGGAAATGAATTTGCNACTGAACTGCAATCTCCTGGGCTGCTGTTATTACTCAGATATTGGGTTAGATAACAGTCATAAGAATAATAAACCTCTGAAGAACAAACACTGCTGTTATAAATTGTAGACGAATGTGAAAGATAACCTGGAAGATGACAGCCCATCTGCCCGTACAGAGAAACTACATAAATTAAAGTGAGGGAGGAAATGAATTTGCAAAGAGAATCATATCATATCCTGCTGATACTGTACATAAGCTGGGTTGCTCCACAAGAGAAGCTGCATCTGAAAGAAACAAAATCATGGCTTATATTATATTTTTTTCCATCTGCATGAAAATGGATATGGTTGTGTGAACCTTGTGTGCAGTTGCTGTTGATAGGCAGATCTAACTTCTCTACCTAATTCTTAAATTTGCTCCAGGAATCGTATACACACAGCACTTCCTTTTCATCCTTTCCCACATCAGCTAAGGGTTAGATTATTAGGCTGAAAGAGAATGATTCATCTTAGGGTAATATTATGGGAGTAATTAATACATTTGCACGAAGGGGGATTAGACAATATTATGTTTTTTGTGTTGTTGTTCAGTCACTAAGTCGTGTCCGATTGTTTGCAACCCCATGAGCCAGGACACACTAGCCCTCTCCCTGTCCTCCACTATCTCCTGAATTTGCTCAAATTCATGTTCATTGCATCAATGACACTATCTAACCATCTCATCCTCTGCAGTCCTCTTCTGCTTTTGCCTCCCATCTTTCCCAACATCAGGGTCTTTTCCAATGAGTCTTCTCATTAGCTAGCCAAAGGATTTGAGCCGTTCAGTAGCTGTCCTTCCAAAGAACAGTCAGGGTTGAATAGCGTGTCTAATTTTTGTCTAATAAAAAAAGAAAATATTTTTAAAACGAGTTATATTAATGCTCGGTAATCATTATGTTATTCTAATTAACTATTAACTACATACATATACATAAATATATACTTATGCCAGTTTCTGCAGAACCTGTTTTTGTAAAAGAATGTTAAATTCAATTTAGTAACATTTTTTAAAAAGCGATTGCTCGGAGTTGGAAAATAATAAAATGGGTGAAATAAATCCTTTGTGCGAGAGTCAAATTGAAGTTACAGATCAGTTATGCAATGTCCAATAACTCCACTTATTATGATGATTGATGTTCATGTATTTTTTTAAAAAATAAATTATGTAGTCTGTTCAATAATAAGGGAAAAAAAGAGGAAGACTATTTTGGACTTATATACTTATAAGAAAACGATCTTAGCAGGATAAATGCATTGGGAAAATTGACTACAATTTATAAGCAGCCTGCAGTGGTCATAAGTGTGAGGACCCATCATAAGTCACTGTTGTAAATACGATTGTAAACTGAGGACTATCTATATTTTTCAGACTGAAAGCATGAATATTTATTCCATCAGGACACAGTTGTGAGTCTGCAACATGCCCATATTAATCACCCCTCTGGAGGAAGAGGTGGATGACACTTAGATAGTTGTCCATCTGCAAATTAAGGGAAGTAGGATGATGCTTCATCCTTTCCTTTTATGAATTTGTAACATTGAAGAATTCTGCTTGAGTGGATCAAGCCTACAGCTCAAAATCTAAAAGCCTGCTTTGAATACAGAATGTCCTAAATTCAATTTCCATCTTCATGAAAGTTCCCTATCTAAATCCATTCAAAACATCCTTCTCAACAGATACAACCCCCCCCCCACCCCCCCCCGTATATATAGTGAAGTAGATCCTCATTATGAAGGCTCATCAGGATGAGCGTTATATTCCAGTGCTTCTGAAAGGCTTCAAGTGGATGGCTTTAGGAAGCAATATTGACTGATACAGCCCAATGGTATGACCTGGCATAGGGAAGCTTTATAAACCTATTTGCTTCGACTCACTGCTGAATGAGGTTGGAAAAGGCATAGTTTTGTACATGTGTACCCAGCTAAAGAGGAGGCAAGTGCAAAAACACGAGAGAAAAGAGAAAAGACCTTGTAGCCTTTACTTTTAATGCTAGCAACAATAGGAATTTATTAGCAACTAGCTGTACCAGGCCACGCGTTGCTGTGGCTCAGTCTGGTTAAATGGAAAAGAAAGAAAAGAGAAATCGCACGTTTGTAATATGTTTACGTCCAACAGATGGCGCTGTTTTTTAAAAAAAGCATGTTTTTACCTGTCACAGGTGTGACATCTATATAATAGTAGGTATATAAAAACACGCATGTATTCGAATGCAACGTTGTGTCAAAATTTCAAAACAATCAGTGAAGAACTTTCGGAGATTTAAGATTTTGAACAAACGAACATTTACATTTTTATTTATATAGATGGAGATGTCAGTCTTTCCTCAACTGGCAAAGGAAAAAAAAACCTTTTGAGATTTCCAAGGACAAAAAAGCTAAGAAAAGTATATTATGTCAAGACATTATGAAAGAATTCCAATGATTGCTATGTATCAAATATGAACCCTATTTGTATTCTAATTTTTATGCTGCTTTTTCCTGCCGGGCAAATGCAACAGACTCAATGACCTTCTCTTCACCCAGTTTCCATCTGTCTCTTGATTTGGTGTCAGGCTATTTACTTTTGTTTACTAGCTCTCAGGACAAAAAAAAAATGTGCTCTGTGCTATCTCTTTGAAACAGTTTTCCCAAACCCGATAAACTCCCATCAGCCCCAGATAACAAGGTCTCTGGATACAGTAGAAGTCATTATCACTGCTTGCTCTAAGACAGGGGTAGGCAACCTTGGCTCTTTGATGACTCGTGGACTTCAACTCCCAGCTGGCTCAGGAATTCTGGGAGTTAAAGTCCACGAGTCATCAAAGAGCCAAGGTTGATACTGAGACTGGCAGTCACTGCAGTTATCTCTCACCCTATTCCTACGCCTACCTAAAGAGCCATTGCCATAGACTCTCCAATGGCAAAAATCCTAAAATAGTTCTTTTTTCTCTCCTATTATTTGTACTTTAATTTGCAACTGTTTATATTGCTTATAAGCCACTTTGAAAGGATTGCTGCTAACCTGAGAGGTGGTCAAGGCTACCTTAACCTATCTTACGACCCGAGTTTTGCCTTTCCTTTCAAGAGGAGGACACGATCCTTGTACCTTTATTTGTTTATAAAATGTATTAGCCATCCATCTTGCCTCACAGTAATTCTGGGCGGCTTACAACATTATAATGCACATCTCCCTGCTCTCTATGACACAGTTTTAAATAGCGAAATCCAGATTGGGAGCTTTGCCTTCTCTATGCTGTGCAGGTAGTGCTTGGAGAAGCCCCTCCGCAGGTGCTCAGAGGTCCTTTCATTGTTGTGCGACACGGATTTATACAACAGAAGCTAAGTTCAGCCGCTTTGCAGTACCAGGGATTGATGGAAAACCAAATGTCCCAGCTGTCTGACGCCACTTGATCCCCGATTAAGGCGTGTTTGTCTTTGCAGGGGTGGGCAGGAAACACCCTGGTCCCAGTCTGGAGCCGCTCCTCGCCTTGGGGTTACTGTTATAACTCCCAGATGTGGGAACTTCTGTTCTGCGCTCTGCACACGCTCAGGGACAGCTCGCCCGCGCTCTGCGGCGCGGCCTGCGCGTCTCCCTCGCTCTTTCCCGGCCCCGCCCTTCAGCACCCTGGCCAGCTCCTCTCCTCTGGCTCCGCCCATTTCCCTCCTCCCTTCCCGCCCATTTCTGGGTCTGTCCCGTTCGCGTGAAGAGAGAGAAAGGCGGGGGGGGAGAGGGGGTGACGCAGAGCGCTTATATCAGCGCCTGCGCAGTCACGCGGCAGTCCAGACGGGGCAAGATGGCGGCGATGCGGGTGATGCGGGGGATGGTGAACGGCGCCGTCTCGGAGCTGAGCGGCGGAGGCGCCATGCGGGAGCAGGCGGCCGCCGTCACCCGCGATTACCTCTCCCAGCCCCGCCTCAGTGAGTACCGCGGCCCGGCAGTGCCGCCGTGCCGAGGGAGTCTCTCCTTTTAGCCCTCGGTGGAGCTGGAAAAAGACCGGAATGGGGCGGGGGGCGGTTGGGGTCACCTCCGCCTGGGATCCCCCCGGACGGGCTCGGCTGCTTCTCTCCCGGAGCGGGAAATCTTGTCCATTGGGCTCCTCCCGGGTGCAGCAGATCCAACCTTGGTGCCCTCTAGACCTATTGGATGGCAAGTTCCATGTCGGCTGGGGATGATGGGCGATTTGGTCCGTGCGTTGTGATGATGCTGGGGGGGGAGGAGAAAGAGAGAGAGAGAGAGGGCGATGCAGAAGCTCTTCTTGAGGGGTGGGTGGGGAGGTTGGGATGCAACCTTTCCTTTTGCAGATCTCCTCGCCCTGGCATCAAAAAAGAGACTCCTGTCTTTTTGCTCCTCTGCATTTGCTGGGGAGGAGGACGCAAGCCCCGCGTCCAGGGGTTTCCATGCCCCAAAGCCCCAAAGCAGGCAAGGACCAGACCTTGCCTGCACAGCCAGCCCAGCTTCTGCCCCCTTTCCCCCCGCTTCTTGGCCATCATCCTGCAGAAAGAGCCTCTGGGTGACCTTTCAGTGCTGTTTGAGTGTCTCTTCCTCGAGTGTCTCTTCCCTAGATTGGCATCAGACCCAACGGGCTCTCCGGGCTAGGCCCTCCTTGCACACACAAAGAGCACTGCAGTGCCAGTTTCTGCGGGCAGCTTTTCCTTCTAAGTAAGGCCAGTGAAGCCCAGGATGGCGCTTATGTTCAAGTAAACCTCCCTTTGGCTGTAGAACTGAATGTCCAAGGGTAGGCGAGATTGCAGTCTCCGCCGTAAAGTAAGTCCTAAGAGAATGATTTGGGGAGTGGCGAGGCCCGAAGGGGTCTATATTGCAATGCCATCATCACCCCGCAGGATCAGACAAGCTTCCTCGTGGCACTCCGTGCCCATTCTCTTAACAGTAGATACCCTTCAGTAAATGGTTCTGTAGTTTCCTTGGTTTTAATCACATGATTTTATCACTATTTCTTATCCCCTTCATGTCTTTCTCCCCCATTTTTTTTTTTTTTACTATGGACTGCCTTCTCTTTCCTTGGTCAGCTTATTCCTCTGTGCTGATTTGGGCATGAAAGAAACCACTAGAATGCCTTCATTTCCCCCCCCTCCCCAGAGACCGATGGTCCTTGCCACTCTTACACCATTGCTGTCCCTTGAAGAGGATACTCTCTCCCTGCCTGTTTGTTTTTTCTTCTATATCTCTCTATAAAATATATTCTATATTTTTTTCCCTATAACAGAACCATCCTGGTTTGCGATTAAAATGAGAAATGAGAGTAAGAGATTGTGAAACCTTCTGACTAATAGATTATGGCTAAGCCTCAAGATCATGTGACACACTGCAGGCTTGCGTGAAAGCAGTCAGTGGAAGCAAGATGGCTCGGGCACACAGAGGTTTCGCTCTCACATCCCAGTGTGTGAAACGCTCTAGGGATGAGACACACTTTTAAGGTCTTTTGGGGTGTAGATTTATTGTTGCCGGGTGAAATGGAGGAAAGATAGAGACCAGAGTCAATTCTGGAAAAGTTTTGGCATTGTTGCGTGAGAGAGCTGGGTTTTATTCATTTCAGCCTGATCTGAAATTGCCTGGGTTGCCTTTAAGGGAGAAGAAATCTAGAAGGCTGACTCTTTCAGATTGTTGAGCTGGCTGGTTATTTTATCAACTTTGGCAACTTGCCACTTAGTTATTATGGTCCTCCTTGAATAAGGTGGTGTGCACGTTTAATGTAGGCAATTAAATCAGATGTAAAGTGAAATAGGCTCAGTTATTCACTGGGAAATTAAGCTTGGTTACTACTATTCAGATCAGGACAGACATGTTTCTGATGCTGATTTTGTTGCTGTAAATCAAAGGTAGTGTGACAGCAAATACAGTTTTGCAATTGTGGAAGTCCCAGAATGGGGATATCCTGTATTATAGCAGTGAAACATAGCTTCATGGATCCCATACAGATGCAAGAGTGGAATGAGCAGATAAATTCAAATAGCAGAGAAATGTTTTTTAGAAGCACATCTCGTTTGCCTCATGAAAATACCTTTATATCTGTAATTTCCAGGCAAGGATAAAGAAATCTAATTAGGTAGATGAAAAGCAAGGTTTCTCTTTTTCTTAGTAGTATCTGTTTTCTCCCTTTGAGCTTCCAGAGAAGATGTTGCTGAGGAATATTTCCATTAGAAATATTTCCTTAGCTGAACAGATGCCTGGGTATCCTCCCATCCTATCCTTTCAGCACCCCCATAGCCCTGCCAGAATCTGTACCAGTAATAGTTTATGTCCCTGTGCTCAGGGTTGTATCTTGGGTTCTCCACCAGGCCACCTGTCCCTCCTGTTGTTGTTGTTTTAATCCCACCTTTATTTTTTTATATAACTAACAAATGTATCTAATGGTCCTTCCCACACCTATTTTAATTTTTCTAAAAAGGTAAATCTTTCTGGTCTTCAAGCAGATCACAAACACATAGATGCTGTGCTGCAAAGCCACACATTTTAGCCCCCAGAATTATTGTTTACTTCCAAAGTGCATTCCAAGCATTGTTAGATTTTCAGCCCTGTGCTTCAGTTGCAAGACTGCCACGTGGGAAGGAAGGAAGAGTTAAGCTAAGGTAGTGGAGAGCAGTTTAAGACAGGGGTCCTCAACCCCCAGGCCGCAGCCCACTACCGGACCATAGCCCATTTGGAACCGGGCCCCATAAGCAGCAGGCGAGTGTGCAGGCGGGGACAGCTCCACTTGCGTTAGTAGTGGGTGAGCGCACTTACAAAGCTCTGTTTATTCGAGCCTGCCACTCACGCAAATGGAGCTGTGCACACGCGCTCCCTCCCCCACTCACGTGGAATCATCCCCCCCCCATCCCATGCCCATCAATCCGTAAAACAGGAAAGATTGGGGACCGCTGGTTTAAGAGACTTCGAGTGGGCAGCATTAAATAACCTCAAGACTTTGCTTTCTAGGGAATACATTATTTGTGGCTATCCTCACTCACGGTTGCATTTGTTTGTAAGAATATGTTAAGACCTTCCTGTGGCAGAAAAATGCCATGCCCTCAAGATTTAAAATGCGCATGTCAGTCCAAAAATGTAATCTTTGGCCAATCCTTGTGTGCCACCGAGCATCAAGATATCTTTAGTTAAGGGGTACGCTTTTAGATATGGTTTTTCATCTTCAGCAGAATGAGAAAAAGAGATATCCCTGGAAAGAGTGAGGAGACAGATGCAGATGTTGAGTGTGGACGAAATTCATTCAAGCAGGAGGTAATCCACTTCTTTTCTCAGATAGTACTGCAGACTAAGATATAACTAAAAAATTAAGCCTGGAGTAGGATACTTGAGGCTCATCTGACATGCCTGTAACTCCCCTTTGCTGAAAGAACATCAGTATATTTGCCAGCAATGTTGGCTAGATTTGGAAGCATTAGTTGACATAGACTCTGGCTTGGTCTTCTGTGACTGATTACTGCTTTCTTAGAAGTGCAGGGTCCTTATAGACAGAAATTTGGATTTTTGTGTGGGCAAACACATAGGAAGGAAATGAGATTGTTTGGAGAGTGACGGGAAGTAAGCCCTTCTCCCCCAAAATGTGGGAAAAGAAAACAAAATGTTCAAGAGTTAACCATAAGATTTATACTGTAGTTGTACCAAACTGGACTGGAAAGCCATATTTTAACTAAACTTGAAACTCTTATTTGGGGAGGTTAGGGGAAAAATTGGGTGTTCGTGGACACAATTCTTTGTACATTTTTTTCTGCAGTTTCAAGGGAATATGTTTTCTAGGATAATATATGTAAGACTGTGTTTGTGTTATAAATATTATCTGAAAAATAGCAGTAATTTCAGTGTTACCAAGTTAATAAATCAAAACAAACCTGCTTTCAAACAGCATCCTACCTGTAGATGTTATCTTTTGAGGGACCTCTGAGGAACTGGGATTTGCACTTCGCCAAGATTTTAGCAGAAATATTTTGCAGTTGTGCAATAGCTGTTAAGGACATAGCTCAAAGCCCAAATGTGGTCGAGAAAGAAGGAAAAAATCTTGTTGATTGGTCTCCAGTTGTGATGAAACACACACACTTTGTAGATATCTGTTCTACCACACACATCCTTTGAGCCGCAGAAGAACAGGTAGAATGTTAAAATATTTAAGGTTAGGGTTAAAAAAAACTGGATCAATTGTTTTAAAAGATGTACACTTTAATACTGTTTTGATTTAAAGCTCAGATATTACCAACATAATTGGTGACATTGTAAAAACGTATTTACTATACACCAAAAACTTTGTAACATCTCCGCCAGCCACGTAGGTATTACTGTGTTGACACAACGCAGGTAACATACCAACCTGTTTACTATAAATATTCTCATATAGCTGTTCTTCCAGTTCAGTTTGAGACATCCTCATGGTAATCCCCAGCACAAATAAACGAGGATAAATTTTACTTAAGTACATAAAATGTTTTCATGCTAGACGCAAACTGTACCATTAAAATTATGACTGGGTTCACACATTATGTTAAGCCAACCACCAAATACACCATATTGTGTGAAGCCTAACAAAATGGTGCAATGCTGTAGTTGACCTTCTGAGACATTTTGGATAAATAAGAATCTGGGTTTACCTGTCCTGACACAAGTAATCCTTAACTTACGATCACATGAGACATTTGCTAAGTGACTTTTGCCCCATTTTGCAAACTTTCTTGTCATGGTTGTTAAGGAAATCACTGCAGCTGTTAAGTTAGTAACATGGTTGTTAAGTGAATCCATTTTCCCCATTGACGTCACTTGTCAGGAGGTCACAAAAAGGGATCATGTGACCCCAGGACACTGCCACTTGTCATAAATATGAGTCAGTTGCTAAGCGTCTGAATTTTGATCACGTCACCCTGGGGATGTTGCAACGGTCATAAGTGTGAAAAGTGGTCATAAGTCGCTTTTTTCCGTGCTGTTGTAACTTCAAATGATCACTACCATTTGAAGCTATTGTTAAGTGGAGGACTACCTGGTGAGAATTTTTGACCAAAATGTCTGGAAGCCACCTTGGCTTAAATTGTCACAGAGACAGATTTATTCTGTCCTTCATCCAGTTTGCAAATAGCAATAACAACAGGAGCAACAACTCAAGCAGACCGATAACGTAGCTAGTAAATCTGTGAAAACCACTGAGAAATGGCTGATCTCTACGAATCTTTCATCGGACTTGAGTCTTGTTGGATTCCAAGTTGGATTCCACGAAGATTTGTGCTTAGCTGTGACCTTGACAGGACAATCCCTTTGGCATATTTCCTTGGAAATAAGTATCGCTCCTGTCTAATGAGATTTATTTCCAGATAATTGTGGATTGGATGCAGCTTCTTACTCAGTTCTCCTGTTCTAGAAATAATCTGGTTTGTTCAGCCTTTCCTTATTTTTCGGGAACAGTGATTAATGATTACTCTTTCGCCTTGTGAGTCTGATAAAGCCCTTTGAAGCGCTTCTCTTTTTACAGTCATGTGGGGTTAAATTGAAGCTTTTGCTGGGAAGGATAATGATGAAGGACCCTTATAGCTTTGGGCGTGCTCTTTTTCGCTTCCCCCCCCTCCGTCCTTTACTCATACAGTGTCTCTGAATAGATTATTATAAAATAATTCCTGCATGCCTTTTGGCTGCATCTGTGAGCCCAGAGTAGATGAACTTCTTTGCATATCACAGAGATAGTTGAATTCCTTGTAGCCACCTGTGGGAACAGGCCACCCTCCTTCACAGAGGTTTATTTACAAAGTGAGCGGATGTGTATTAAGCTAAAGTGTGTGGTTGGTGGAGGTAATGCTTAAGAGTTAGCATGATGAATGGATCCAGGTTCTTGAGGCGCTACAAGCAAACCATGGCTTGGGCTTGCTGTGAAATCATCCGTTTTCATTTTGAAACCCTGATTTAAGGTATAGCATGTTATATAGACTCCCCTAATTGCTACTTGTTCGATAAATCTTGGTTTACTGTGCTATAAGAACCAGGTCATAATATTTCTGAGCAGACAAATATAAGAAGACAACTTCATGCTGTATACGTTGTGGTAACCCAACCTGCAAGTAGTTAGGCCATGCACATTCTAATCTTCAGAAGCTTCTCATAGGCAAGTTAAAGTAGAAAGCATTCTTAAAACCCACTTCCCTTGTCTAGTCAACAAGAAGGGAAGCTAAGGGTTGTCAATGAGAGTTGGTGCTTGTTTCTAGTTTCCAGGTGTTTTTCTTTAAAAGGCAAATGAGAGAGATGCTCTAGAACAGGGGTAGTCAACCTTGGCTCTTTTATGACTCGTGGACTTCAACTCCCAGAATTCCTGAGCCAGCTTAGCTGGCTCAGGAATTCTGGGAATTGAAGTCCACGAGTCATAAAAGAGCCAAGGTTGACTACCCCTGCTCTAGAATTATGAACTCCTGAGAATCCAGGAGTTTATGGACATGCCTCCATTTTTTTAAAAAAAAATAAATCCTTGGACCCATTCAGAAGAAGCCGGTATAGCACCTTGCTTTATAGGGTACAAATGGATTGTTTACTGCAAAGCATAAAGAACTAAGTGCCCAATAAAATAACTCTGTTATTACAGGAGGGATATAAGGGTGGAAAAACATCTTTGGCAGAAGGATTGAGCCACGGGAGGGGTACAAGGATCAGATTCATATCTGATGTTAAGTCATGGCTTCCTGAATATTTTTTTTTTATTAATTTCATTGTGATTTCCTTGCTAAGAAGCTGCTCAAAATCATTGAGTGTTTATTTATTTATTTGACTTCTCAGACTCCTAAAAGGATCTTTGGAACTCCTAAGGCTTCCCAGACCACACTTTGAGAGTTACTGGTTTAAACCAACATGTGAATCAAATTTCTGTTTATGTGGGATTATTCTCCTTTTCTCTGCTCCTTCTTTGTAGGCAGAGCTAGTGCCCTAGTCACATTTTCTTAGGAAGTATAAAATGTATACATTGGTTCAGGCCAGTTGATCCTTGCCATTGTTCAGATCATGAATAAGAAGCAAAATGGAATAGCAACACATCCCCCAGACATGTGTGGGCCCAATTGAGTATAGTTCAGATCTCCTTAACCCAGAGTAAGACACTCTGGGATGTCAAGTGTCTGCCTCTGATTGCTTTCCCGTTGCCAAGGGGGTGCAGGTAACTGGTGCCAATGCAAATGGGCATGATGTTTCCCAGCTATTCATTGAAATAAATTCTGGCACAGAGCCTTAGCATGCTCTGAGAAGATTGCAGCTTCTGACTTACTTCCTTGTGCCAAAAAATTTTGTTCTAAAGATTTAAGGATCTGCAGCTTTTAAACTTGCAGTGGTTTTTTCCCTCCATCATTGTAGCAAAGTGTGAAACGAAGGCTTTTATTGAACTGCCATAATGGGATACCTGATTTTATGAAAATAATGTTATCTGTGCTAGTATTAATATGGTATTGTGTCTGTAGCCTTCATGAAAGTGGTGTCCTTAAACTCTGGGAATGGTGGTTCCTGTGTTTTGGATCATGGTGTTCGGGTGTTTCTCTCTCTCCCCCCCCCCCCAGTTTTTCTGTAGTTTAAATGAAAGCTGCTATATATACTGTAATTCGTTACAATCAAGACTAGTGCCTGAAAATATAATTTAGATATCTCCAGTCTTGACAGTAAGTCTTGACAGACAGTCTTGACCCTTTGAATTAGTTGTCAGCTTTAGAGTTGCATCGCAGGTTGATAGTCTATTTACTTGATTTTACATTTTTAGAGGCTGGAGGCAAAAAAAAACAGTGACATAAAAAAATCTCTCTTTAGGGAATTATCTCACAATAATTGGCACTCCATATGTAGCATATGACTCAAGCTAGTTGAGATCTCTTTTCCAAAGATGATCTATCAAGCATAGCATAAGAATGCGTTTGAGGTGGCTACATATCCTGCATTACTATTTAGTAAATTTGTGTAAGTTTTCACTAAGCGTGCACTAGATTGTTTAAACATCTTCCTTTTGGCTTTTCAGCATATAAAACAGTATCTGGAGTTAATGGACCACTCGTAATCTTGGATCAAGTGAAGGTAAATTGGAGATTTAATGGCTCTGTAAAACACTTGGTTTGAACTGCAGTTTCCTGTGGTTGTCTTTAAATATAGTAAGCATTAATGTATTTGTAAATGTATTTTGCAGTTATCTGTTTTCGTGCTAGCTTGGTTGATATTGCAATGAAAATTACATTCATACTGATGTATGGATTCTTTAGACAGAGCACCCTTTTGGGTATGGAAAGCATGTCTCAACATGTTCAAGGCAGATATGCAAATCTCATTCCATCCTTTGCAGTAAAATAACATCTGTAGACAAGTAACTGATGGTTTTATTTACAGAAGCCTTTAAACATTCTCATCAAATACAAACGCATTATCAATCTGTAACTTCTGGCTGGGATTTCCAGTTTCACTGTGGAATTTCAAATATGAAAAAGTTAGACCAGCCTTTCTATTTCTTCCATCTGATGTGGGACTAGCAACAGCACCCCAGGCATATCTATTTTTTTTTAATCCATCACATTTAAGAACATCAGTTTGGGGAAGCTACTGAATAGATGCCAGCTTTTTTCTGGGCTGAGAAAGCTAGATAATTTTATCCCTTGTTCAAAAAATGCCATAGTAAATTTTCACTGATAGGTGGCTGGCAAGCCATTGCTATGGCTATCAGAATTTCAGACTGAGTGCTTGTAAAAAATGGTATGGGGGGGGGCGGAATCACTGGTCTATAATTATGTCCAACAATTCAGTGTTCCCCTAAGTTTTTTTCAGGTTGTAATTTAACCTTTAAACTTTAAAGTTGAAGAAATGAGCTTGATCACCCTTGATGTTCTGTGCGCTAATTTTGTGCCTCTCCTGCTCTTAACAAAAAATATCTTGGCCTAGTTGACTGTCGTTATTGTCATTTAGTTTCCCAGGTATGCAGAGATTGTGCATTTGACACTGCCCGATGGAACAAAGAGAAGTGGACAAATCCTAGAAGTCAGTGGATCCAAAGCTGTAATTCAGGTAAATGGCTTCCCAGTCATTTTTCAAATGTTTGCAATGGAAATAAGCCATCTGAAGTAACAGATACATACTTTTACAGGTAGTCCTCGAGTTATGATCACAATTGAGCCCAAAACGTATGTTGTTAAGTGAAACATTTGTTAAGTGAGTTTGCTCCATTTTACGACTTTTCTTACTGCAGTTAAGTGAATCACTGCAATTGTTAAGTTAGTAACAGGGTTGGCTTTCCCCAACCATGGAGATGCTGCAACAGTTGTTAAGTGTGAAAAATGGGCATAAGTCACTTTTTTCAGTGCCGTGATGACTTAGAACAGTCACTAAATGAACTGTTGTAAGTCAAGGACTACCTATATTCTTACCTGCTATTCTAGGGTCCAACATCTTTATTACATAAGATTTTTACAATGGGCTTGTTAATATTTCAGAAACCATGTGTGCCTCCAGGCTTCCTATGAAAGAGAAGTACATTCGGTTTCTGGTCTCGCAATATTTTTTGTTCCAGGAAAGCTTAACCTAATTTGCTTTCCTGTTGGTTAGGAATTAGTTTCCCATCGAAATAGTCTTTCCCATTAATAGTCAATAAAGCTATTTTTGAGCTGTTGTAGCAGGAGCCTCAAATAAAGAACAAGTGTAGTAACGGCCTTGATTCTGTTTAAATGTTTACTAGGAAGCCGTTTGCTGACCATAGATAGTGCTATTGTTGAAATAAAAACATGCAATCAAATATTTGCCCTTTTCTAGGTGTTTGAAGGAACTTCGGGAATCGATGCTAAGAGAACATCTTGTGAATTCACCGGGGACATCCTTCGAAGCCCGGTGTCCGAAGATATGCTTGGTAGTACCAGATTTTGTCTATTGGATGGAAAACTTTATATGTGATTTGTCCTGATATCTATTTTGTATGCAGGGTTTGTGGTAATAATGCATCTCTCCCTCTTTCCCTTTCCCTCTCCTTCTCTTTTGTTCTGATCTTTGTAGGACGTGTGTTTAATGGCTCAGGAAAACCTATCGACCGAGGTCCTGTAGTCTTGGCTGAAGACTACCTTGATATTATGGGTATGTTTAAAATGTTTGTTGTTGTTGTTAATTGCGAAGTCGTGTCCGACCCATCGCGACCCCATGGACAATGTTCCTCCAGGTCTTCCTGTCCTCTACCATCTTCTGGAGTCCATTTAAGCTCACTCCTATTGCTTCAGTGACTCCATCCAGCCACCTCATTCTCTGTCTTCTATTGCCCTCAATCTTCTATTGCCCTCAATCTTTTCCAGCATTAGGCTCTTCTCCAGGGAGTCCTTCCTTCTCATTAGGTGGCCAAAGTACTTGAGTTTCAACTTCAGGATCTGGCCTTCTAAAAAGCAGTCGGAGTTGATCTCTTCCAGGACTGACCGGTTTGATCGCCTTGCAGTCCAAGGGACTCGCAGGAGTCCTCTCCAGCACCATAGTTCAAAGGCCTCAATTCTTTGGCGCTCAGCCTTTCTTATGGTCCAACTTTCACAGCCATACATTGCAACTGGGAAAACCATGGCCTTGACTATACGCACTTTTGCTGGCAGGGTGATGTCTCTGCTTTTTAGTATGCTGTCTAGATTTAAAATGTTTACTAAGACATTAATATAAATGGTTTTCAGGAAATGGGTGTGCAGCTCTGTGTAGGAAAGTAGTAAGCTAGCATAATAAAGCATCAGCTCAGGGAAGCAGAGTTGCAAATATGACATCAAGTGAAGTTATAATTAAAAGTAATCATACTTTCTAATCAAACTGATGCAATCCCATCCCATCAGTTGGGAGTTGGCAATGGATTTGGAGATTCAGTGAATGAAGTGATCAATTTGAAGATTGATTTGACGATTCAGCGACTATCTGTGCATGCACCATTGCACTTTTCCTTCATCTAAATGTTCAAATCAATTCAAAAAAATTGGCATGTGGAATCCAAATCATATCACAAATTAAAATCAGATCTTGGCTCATGTGCACATCCCTACACAAGCTAGAAAATCAACAGACTTCTTGCCCTGTCTCTTTTCAAAGGATACCAGGGGTAGGCAACCTTGGCTCTTTTATGACTCGTGGACTTCAACTCTCAGAATTCCTGAGCCAGCACGGCTCAGCTTGGAAACCTCTCCCTTTCCCCTCAACATGGCTGGCTCAGGAATTCTGGGAGTTGAAGTCCACGAGTCATAAAAGAGCCAAGGTTGCCTACCCCTGCCCTAACCCAATGATAGCAAGATCCAGTTTCAAGGCCTTGAAACTTTTAACCTGCTTTAAGGGATTGTGAGAACTGGACATTTCTTGGGTGAGGTCTTCAAGAAACCAGAATCGGATCGTCACCGTGTAGTCATTTAATTAATAAAAATGAAGTGTGGCCTCAAGCTTTGAAAGTACCACCCTGTTTAGAGACTGTCAGTTAAGCTTGCTGATAGTAACTCACAAAAGACCTTGCTGGGTATAGATGCTTCAGAAATATCCACTTCGTTAGACAAATTGCTTGAACCGTAACATGGGTATGTTGGATTTTAATATTCTTTGTGCGAAATTCTGGCCTTGGAAAATGCAGACTAAAACGGATTGTTTTTCCTCCATTAAAATGAAATAGGTCAGCCTATCAATCCTCAGTGTCGAATCTACCCAGAAGAAATGATCCAGACTGGCATTTCTGCTATCGATGGGATGAACAGTATTGCCAGAGGCCAGAAGATCCCCATTTTCTCGGCTGCGGGGTTGCCCCATAACGAGGTAAGGGTTTGAATAGCATTCTGGGAGTTGAAGTCCACAAGTCTTAAAGTCGCCAAGGTTGAGGACCCTTGCTTTATTACACTGAAGTCATGTGCTGCCATTATTTTTTTTTACCTCAGATAGCGGCTCAGATCTGTCGCCAGGCAGGCTTGGTGAAGAAATCCAAAGATGTGGTGGACTACAGTGCTGAGAACTTCGCCATTGTATTTGCTGCAATGGGAGTAAGTAACTAAATGCACACAAAACAATTTTCTCCCTCGTTGCCCAGAACAATGGCCGCAATCCTTGGGAGAGCAAATTGTCCCCATTACTCTGGCAATTTTGGGCAGCGTTGTTTTTTTCCCTTTTGGCTAAAACAGTGGTTCTCAACCTGTGGGTCGGGACCCCATTTGGGGTCGATCGACCATTTCATGGGGGTCGCCAAGCAAGGCTGTCCGCCTTTTTTTTGTCCACAATTTTTTTTGTCTGCCATTTTTTTCCCCTTTTCCGGCGGGTGCCTTACCTCCCTTGGGCTGGGCCAGCTGGTGGTCGGCCTGCTCCGTCTCTGCCGCTTGCCAGCTACACCTCGGCCGGCGCAGGGGGCGGAACCACGCATGCACTGCGCTCCCGGGCAGGGAAAGTCCTCGACTTACGACCGGTTGGGTAGTCCTCGACTTACAACCGGTTGGGGTCATGGCATTAAAAAGGTTGAGAACCACTGGGCTAAAAGAATAATCAGGGTGGAAAGGTCAAAACTTAGAGAAGCACTTGTGTTTGAACTGGTTGACTTTATCTCCTTGCTTTACTCTCTAGGTGAACATGGAAACAGCCCGATTTTTCAAAACCGACTTTGAAGAAAATGGGTCCATGGACAATGTGTGCCTGTTCTTGAATTTGGCTAACGATCCGACGTAAGTGGGCTGGAATCTTCCTAGTTGGATTTCATCTTGGATATTAATCGTATTACCTGGAAGTGGGGCCCTTTGATGTTAATTGATGTCCCTTTCATGGAACATCTTAGCTTCTATTGGTGACTGAAAGAGGGATGAAGCTCTTGAGGCACCGGACGAATATTGTCTTCTCATTTGGTTCAGACAGTCCCAAAGGTGTTTTCTCAAAGAGCAACTGGATTTGTTTTTCCATGAAGAGGTTTCGCTTTTCCTCCAAGAAGCTTCTTCAGTTCTTCAGAGAAGCTTCATTCTTCAGAGAAGCCCCAGAGAAGTTTTGAGAAGCGAAATCTCTTCAAGGAAAAACAAAGTCTAGTTGCCTTTGGAAAAACCACCTTTGGGTCAACCATGTCTTGGATGACTGGATGACTGAGAATCTCCATAGACCAGGGGTCCTCAACCTTGGCAACTTTAACTTGTGGACTTCAACTCTGGAATTCTGGGAGTTGAAGTCCACAAGTCTTAAAGTTGCCAAGGTTGAGGACCCCTGCCATAGACATTCTTCTTTAAGGAGACCATGGCCAGGGTTAACGCTTAATTACTCCAGAGGATCTTGAATCTTGTTTCAAGGTTTTTCTTCTAAGCTGCCATTTTGTTTTAGACGCAATCCTTCACTTTGGCATAATTGGTTTAATGGAGCTCATTATTTTTCACAGCATTGAACGGATAATCACTCCTCGCCTTGCGCTGACCACAGCAGAGTTCTTGGCTTATCAGTGTGAGAAGCACGTGCTGGTCATTCTGACAGATATGAGCTCCTACGCAGAAGCTCTGAGAGAGGTACATATTTAGTCTGTTGATCAGACAACTGCTGAACTGCACAGCCAAATATTTCCTCCAGCTTGAATTTTCTAACTTGTAAGGCACAAAATTAGAACAATTTACCAGTGGAACAACCTGCCTCCAGAAGCGGTGAATGCTCCAACACTGGAAGTATTTTAAGAAGAGACTGGACAGCCATTTGTCTGAAATGGTATAGGGTTTCCTGCCTAAGCGCAGGGGGTTGGGCTAGAAGACCTCCAAGGTCCCTTCCAACTCTGATATTCTATTCTAAATTAACTAAGAATCTGAAGGTTATGATTTTTTGAGAAGAAGAATTACTGCAGAATATTCTGTCATTATTGTCTTTCATAGATAGCATGAATGAATTCAAAAGGGCACGAAACGAGTGGTATTCAGATCCTCAGCGGATATGAAAACCCTTTACATGCCTATCAGCTAGACTCTGTGGGTTCAAGAAACTATTTCTTTATGTTAAGTAGATGGCCACAACCTTCAATTTCACAGAAAGATCAGATGGGTGAAAACTGGTGATCTCCTGCACAGCAGTGACAAAGGCTAAATCAGAAAAGGGTAGTCTTGGGGACAGAAGTTTGAAGACCCCTTTTTATGTTCTTGCTTCTGCTGGTTATTCCAACCCATTTGCCTTCATTTCCCAAAGGTCTCAGCTGCCAGAGAAGAAGTCCCAGGCCGGCGGGGTTTTCCTGGCTACATGTACACAGATTTGGCCACAATCTATGAGCGAGCTGGACGAGTAGAAGGCAGGAACGGGTCCATTACACAGATTCCCATTCTTACTATGCCCAATGATGGTAAGTGTTCTTTCAGGGTCGTTTTTTAGTCCTGCAGCTTCTTTCAACCTCTGCATCTGATGCCACATACGTCACCCCGCAGGCTAAGATTAAATGCATTAAGTCTAATGGGCAAACCTTTCACAACAATTCAGACACCGCTGCCATTAGCATCTGGGCAGCTGTGTTTTGTAACTCCAGGAGTTCCTTGCACACTCCGTAGGCAAGGGAAGAGTTTTTCTCCAGGATTTGGTGGCTCTTTCTTCCCCCCCAGCAGTCTCCTTCATTAACAGACCTTCGTACTTGGATCGCCTTTTCAGTTCCTTGTGTTTAGGCAGGTGTGTCACAGCGGGTGGATTTATAGTTTGTGTTCCACCATAAATCGTTAATGGCTGGGTTCGTACAATACAGTAAGGCATAAATCCTACCAGCCATCTTGAGGTTTAACAGGGTGTCTGTGAAACAGATCCGCAATTGGTCACGTAGTTTGCGCAGAAACTGGAAAGCTTTAATGCAGACATGTCAAACACAAGGCCCGGTGGCCAGATGCAGCCCGCGAAGTAGTTTCATGTGGCCCGCGAAGCTATCCTGGAAACAGTGAGGGAACGGCCCCCGCTGCCTTGGCCCTGGCCCAGGCCGGCCGGGAGCCAATGTACAATTTTGTGGTGGCCATCTTGGCACTTGCCCCAGTGGACCATGCCTTGGCACTTGTCCCGGTCCCACCCCCTTCTGCTAGAGACCCTCAGATCTGTCCCCCGCCTGCCCAAGCCCCCACAGGCCCCCTTTGACACGAATGATGTAGAACTGGCCACGCCCACTCCATCCACGCCCACCCAGTAGGCTGCACCCACTCTGGCCACACCCACCCGGCCCCCCAAGGGCAACCGCAATGCTAATGCGGCCCTCAGTGAAATTGAGTTTGACACCCCTGCTTTAATGCAACTTCTCTTGCAGACATAACGCATCCTATTCCTGATTTGACGGGATATATTACCGAAGGCCAAATCTACGTAGACAGACAGCTGCACAACCGACAGGTTCGTAGTTTACGTTGTAAAATACTACTTTGTGCCTGTTATACGTGAAGTCGCTGGTTTGATTGTCCAGGAAGGAATTATCGAAGAGTTGATCTGTTTGCCATCTCTTCGTTCTGCCACGACTCCTGGCTCCACTTTTCACAGAGCTTTTTTCAGTCTGTTGTTTCTTCCCCGGAAGTCACAAGTCCAATTCTTCAGAGCTGTCATTAAAAACCTGGTTCTTCTTCCAGATTTACCCACCCATCAATGTACTTCCCTCTTTGTCTCGATTGATGAAATCTGCTATTGGTGAAGGAATGACCAGAAAGGATCATGCTGATGTATCAAACCAGCTGGTAAGTGGAATTCACTAAAAGAGGTCTGTAGTTCCTCCATTGTCTTGCGTTAAAAAGCTTCTCTTCCTTTCTCTGACCTCTTTCCTTTTTCTCTCTTTCCTTTATGAGATTCGTATTTTTTTTAACTTACGGAAAAAGTATTTGATAAAAATAATCTAAAAAACCCAAATTGTCAATTTTTTTCGTGAGAGGTAGGCTCCCGATAAACCCCAAGTATGTCTAATTGCCTTTCACGCCAGAAATGATCTCAACATTCCTATGAAGCTCGTATTGCTTGAAACATGAAGACGTGTTTCTTAATAAACTTCACAGTTCTTAAATTTAGTTTTTTGTTTTTTGTTTTGCTTTGTTTTGTTTTGTCTAGTATGCCTGCTATGCCATTGGAAAGGATGTCCAAGCCATGAAGGCCGTAGTAGGAGAAGAAGCACTTACTTCTGACGATCTTCTGTACCTTGAATTTCTGCAGAAGTTTGAGAGGAACTTCATTGCTCAGGGTAGGTGTTGTCCTTCAGATTTATTTATTTATATCCTGCCTTTATTGTTTTTACGGGTAACCCAAAGCAGCAAGCACACACGATACTCCTTCCTTCTCCTATTTTCCCCACCACCACAACCCTGTGAGGTCGATTTGAGCTGAGAGAGAGTGATTGGCCCAAAGTCACCCAGCCTGCTTCCATGTCTAAGGTGGAACTAGAACTCACAGTCTCCTGGTAATTGGCCCAAAGTCACCCAGCTGGCTTCCATGTCTAAGGTGGAACTAGAACTCACAGTCTCCTGGTGATTGGCCCAAAGTCACCCAGCCGGCTTCCATGTCTAAGGTGGAATTAGAACTCACAGTCTCCTGGTAATTGGGCCAAAGTCACCCAGCCAGCTTTCATGCCTAAGGCGAGATTAGAACTCACAGTCCCCTGATCATTGGCCCCAAACCAGCCCATTAGCTGGTTTTCATGCCTAAGGTGGGACTAGAACTCACCGTCTCCTAGTTTCTAGCCTGGTGCCTTAACTACTAGATCAGGGGCCTTCAAACTTGGCCCTTTTATGACTTGGCTGGCTGAGGAATTCTGGGAGTTGAAGTCCACAAGTCATAAAAGGGCCAAGTTTGAAGACTCCCTGCACTAGATGAAACAGACTCTCAAGATGACTGGGGAAACTGTGGCTGTTTCCTCTGGATTTCAGTGTTTTGACCCTGCTGTCCATTATCATTTCAGGGCCCTATGAAAACCGCACTGTTTACGAAACGCTGGATATTGGATGGCAGCTGCTACGTATTTTCCCCAAGGAGATGCTGAAGAGAATTCCCCAGAGCACCTTGGCAGAATTTTATCCCCGAGACTCCACCGCAAAACATTAGCTTGCACCCTGTTGCTCCCCCAAAAATACTGGATTTTTTTTTCTTTCCCTTGTGTTGGTGTTTACTTGTCAGCCCCTGTAATTAAACCAAGAATAAGTGACATATTTGTGCCAGTGTTCCTGATGTTTGAAGCTGATAACAGAGTTTAAAATATGCTCCTTTTCAAACACTGGTTTCTTGAGTGGTTTACATATGCTGGGAGGAAATGGTTTATTTTTAGAATTTTCTTTGCTCTCCTGCAAGCGTTTTAGTTTTGTTTTTTTTCTCCCCCCCCCCCCCCCTTTATGTGGTCTTGAAGGAAGAAAGTACACAGAGCTGGCTGCTGTGCCATTTTCGGACTGTTGGAGCATGAGAAAACTCATCTAGTCGTGGAGGGAAAATCTAGACCCATCCCCAAGAAGTTGAGAAAAGTTGCATTCCTTGGTCAAGCCATCCTTGTCCACTTGGGAGTTTTGGTCCACTTTTAAGCCCTTTGGCTGACCAGTGGGCAAGAGAAAGCCACTCCACAGTTTACGATGGTTCCTGGTAGCATTACAAGCCCACAAAGCGCCATTCGCTTCAGCTACCGTATGGCTAGGAAATCGCCCAACAGTGATTTTGCAATATTTGCACATCCTGTTGCTTGCCCAGGAAAAGTACAGGATCCCTACCTCTTCTGTGAAAACTTGGCATGGGGACTCCTTTCCAGGTGGTCAGTCCCATTGCCCAGTTGCATCTGCACGTGTATGCAGTTGTGGATGTAAATATGAAACAGCAGCAAAACGGGGGGTTCCTCTCTTCCCCCCCCCCCCTGTTTTTTTTCTAAGCTTCCTTGCAAGGTAATCAAGGCAGAGGACAATGTTGGCGAGGTTGAGGATGCCTGTAGCTAACGAGTATCTTGTTTGGTACATCAGTCTTCAGAATACTCTGAAAAAGGCCCCAAGTTTTCCAAGCGCAGCACGCCCTTATGTGTCTGAACAAAGCTGAGGAGCGTTTGCTTCAAATATGCGTAGATTATGTCCAAGTTAGACCCAGGGGTCCTCTTGTTCAATTCCTCGTGATCCAGAAAGTAAGAAGTCACATTGAACATGGCCACGGGCCATTTTGAATTCTGTTCTTGAGAAACCCTTGGGAAGGTATTTAGGTTTGAACCCAACCCCAACCTTGGATTTTTTTTTTTTTATAAACCATCTTCCGAAGGTGAAGCTCCCTAGCTGTTGTGCACAGTTCTAAACACTGCTTTGGCGCCAGGCAGTGGATGGCGTTGACAACCCAATGCTTCTGTAGAATGGGCTTGCGTGGATTTCCAAGCCCAGAGACAAACATGAGGTACCTTTTCACCTTGATTCTGGTTTCCAGCCTATTCCTGGGGGCCTCTCCCACCGCTCCCAATTTGGGTGATCCAGATCGTTAACTACAGGACAACAACCCAGATCCCAGCTGGGTGTTGCTTGGCGAGGTTGGTGATGGTTCAGGCTGCAAAGACTGTCGGTTCCAACGTGTCACCCCTTCGATCCTCCCACGCTTTGGTCCTACGCAGATCTTCTTTGTACTGTTTCGTTCTGTGTGCTCTGTAACTTGGGTGCAGTAGCCTTTCTTTTTTTTCCCCTCCCCCTTTACTCTGAGGCATTCCATTGAAGTTGTGTCAATTCTATTTTTCTCTGAATCTGAGGAGGGTTGGGAATCACGGGGAAATAGCATGGAAATATTTTAATGTAGAAAACTGTGATACCTGAATAAGTTAAACATGATCAATAAATGTTAAAAGAAAACGGGATTCTGTTTGTGCTGGTCATATGGAAGCTTCTTGTTTTCTTTAGGGATGGGCCTTTCAAAAATCGTGAGCCTTTAGGGCAGTGGTTCTCAACCTTCCTAATGCCACGACCCTTTAATACAGTTCCTCATGTTGTGACCCCCAACCCTAAGGGCTCTCCAAGCGCGCACCGATGCCGCCCACTCAGCCGCCGCACCCGGGGCTCAGCGCGCCTGGCCTGTCCTTGCCTCACTTCCGAAGGTCGCCGGCCTGCCCGGCTCCACTGGCTGGGGAGGGGGGGCAGGAAGGCCATTCCGCCCAGCCTGGTTGGAGAAGCGCCCAGGCAGGGAGAGCGAGAGAGAGCGAGAGCCAAGAGGGTGACAGCGCCGGCAGAGCTTAGTTCAGCCTCCTCCACGGAAAGGGCCGCGAAGCAGCGCAGCCTCCCTTAGGAGATGCTCGACGGAAACGAATCTGGCGCTGCAACGGCCCCCAGCTCGAAGCCGTGCGGAGACAGATAGAGGAGCGGTGTCTCGGTTCCTAAGACCATCGGAAATATGTGTTTTCCGATGGTCTTAGGCGACCCCTGTGAAAAGGTCGTTCGACCCCCAAAGGAGTCGCGACCCACAGGTTGAGAACCGCTGCTTTAGGGCTTGACGCTTCCCAAGAACATTAATTTCATACGCCCAAGTTGGGGCCCCGCCATGTAAGTCATGAGCTCATGGTGGTTCACCTTTGTAGATACCCTGTAGATACCCAGGTCTACCAACTTTAGAGCTGCTAGAAGGACATCAGCTGCTCTTGCAAATTTCTGCTTTTCATCTGACGGTGTCCATTGATCACGGATTTTCTACATTCGAGTGGAAAATCCTTTAATCATTGAACGTTGTGAGTCTGCTGTGGCTGACTGTTAGGATTAGCTTGGCCAGACATCAGAAATGCAGTTAGTCCTTGACTTAACAACCGTATAACTTGAGCCCCAAATTTCTGTTGTTAAGCGAGACATTCGTTAAGTGAGCTTTGGCCCATTTTACAACCTTTCTTGCCACAGTTGTTAAGTGAATCACCGCACGGTTACTAAGTGAATCTGGCCTCCCCATTGACTGCTCATCAGCAAGCCGTGAAAAATGGTCACATGACCCCAGGGATACTGCAGCCGTCGTAAATGTGAGTCGCTGGGCGTCTGAATTTTGATCACGTGACCATGGGGATGCCGCAAGAGTCGTTAGTGTGAAAAATGATCATCAATTACTTTTTTCAGCGCCGTCGTAAGTTTAAACGGCCACTAAATGCACCGTTATGAGCCGAAGAAAAGCATGATTAGCTTCTGAAAGAAGAGTCTTCTAAAAAATTAAGTCGGGAGAGACAAAGAATCTGGTGGGCCCTAAGGGAGCGTATGTGTTATACAGAGGCCACCAAGTTGTTTAACCTAGTTTACAGACTCGCGTGTCAGCAGCTCAGCAAAGACGCAGGTGGCTTGGAACTGTAGTAGGAGGCTTCTGCTTCTCCTTTTCTCAGTTCAGCCTTGATAATTTCTAGACGTAACTAAGACTGTATTAAGGTTGCGCTACAACCTTTTAACCCCAATTGTGTAGTAGATGTCAGATAAATAGAATTTGAAACGCATAGACCAGGGGTCTCCAACCTTGACAACTTTAAGACTTGTGGACTTCAATTTAAGGCTGATGGTCAAGTAGTTATGGCGGTTTGAAGAATTGAAAGCACAGTTCTTTGACAACCTGAAGAATTGCTACTGTAGTAGCAGTGAAGAACACAACGGTGTTTCTAATAGTCCTTCACAGTTTTCTCAAGTGCAAATGATGTGATGGAAAAATGGCTATTGTTTATTTGTTCACAGATAGTACCAGAAATGTAAGTCACACAGGGTTGTCACGATATCTTTTTTACGTCTCTGGAGATTCTCTGTTGTCCAGATCATGGTTGTCCCAAAGTTCCTTTTCCAAAAGGCAACTGGACCCTCTTGTTGGTTTTTTCCTTTGAAAATGTTTTTGCTTTCTCATCCAAGATTTTGCTTCTCAACCTTTGGGACAATATCTTTTAACAATCACATTGTAAAATGTCATTGTGGAAAGTTTCAATTCCAGTAAGGCATTGCTTGTTCCACGCAAAGCATGAAAAACCCTAGTCAACAGGCCAGTCTCCAGTGGTGGGATTCAAATAGGGGAACAACCGGTTCTCTGTGTGGATGCCGCTTCCAGAAGTCCGTTCTGGGCCTGGGCAACAAAAAATTAGCTACCGGTTCTGCCGAAGTGGTGCGAACTGGCTGAATCCAACCACTGCCATCCTCCCATAAGGAGAGCTTGTGGAAACACATAACCCCACAATAGACTTATTTTAGGCAGAAAAAAAATGGTAGGCCACTTTAAAGCCAAACCCGATCTTCTGCTAACGGCTGCAAGGAAGGCTTTTAGAAGCCTAGCTGCAGAGGCTAATTCAAACCTTGGCTATCTTAGAAAACAATAGGTGGTCAGCTGAGACCTCAAATTAGTAAGCAACACATGTTCCCTGATTAGTTTCTCCAATGAGAGAACAGCAAATAAAGATAAAAAGGAAGGATTGAAAAGTTGGGGCGTGGGAGATTTTTTGCAAAGCTCAATTATGCCTAATCAAAGGAATGGCCGGAGAGCTGGAATAAGAGAAACACTTTGTTGTTTGAAAACTAAAGGTTTGTTGGGGGGACTATTTCCTTGGAATGATGGATAAATGTGGATCGTCAGCAGTAGAACATTAGTTTTTGGGGAAGATTTTTTTTTTTAATCAAGAAGGGTGTTGTTGCTGGAGGAGAAGGGAATGTTTTGTGTTGAAATTTAGCAATAGGTTAGAACCCTCTAAGTGAACTGTGGTGTCAGTTATTACTGCGTTGGCTGGGTTGAGGAAATAATGATTCAAAGGATTAAATGGGATATTTCAAGTAGTAAAAGGTAAATTTGCTCCTGCTTGAAGCTCCACAGAGTGTTAGGAGAATAGGAAGCTTCCAGAGAAAACTCTGGTGGACGTTCTCAATCATCTAGGTCATGGTTGTCCCAAAGGTGCTTTTTTGTGCAAAAGGCAACTGGACTTTCTTAGTTTTTTTTTTTCTTTCAAAATGTTTCGCTTCTCATCCATTAAATCCTTCCATTCCCCACCAGTCAGAACTGAAGAAGCTTCTTGGAGACCTTTTATATGCAAAGTGGGTGGGTGTTTTTCCCCTCCTCTCCCATGGAGCTATACTTCATTCTTAAGAGTTTGTGGGCTTTAAACTTCTGATAATTAGTTTTTATACAGGAACCTCAAGGCTACTGAGAATGTTTTACTCAGGGCTTCATCTGCCTGTGCCTAAACCTGGCTTGTGTTTGCCTTGGAAACCTTTTAA